CACATACACAAAAACAAGTAGATAGAATAGAAAAAATAGAAAGCTAGTGGTGTTTTTAAATAAAAAAGAAGATAAATAAATAAATAAAGTAGAATTAAAATAAAATAGAAAGTGGGTTAGAGGGTCAAATACAGATGGAACAGATGTGTTTTTAGTCGTTTTTTGAAGATGGCTGAGGACTCGGATTGAGTTGGGCAGGTCATTCCACCAGGAGGAAACAGTTAATGAAAAAGTCCATGAAAGTGATTTTGTGCCTCTGGGATGGCACAATAAAGCGTCGTTCACTTGCAGAATGCAAGCTTCTAGAGGGCACATAACTCTGAAGTAATGAATTTAGGTAAAGGGGTGCAGAGCCAGTGGTGGTTTTGTAGGCAAACATTAATGCCAATAAATTTAAATGAGAATGTATGTGACATTCCAGGTGAAGGTGAAGTGACATGTGGCCAAGTATGGTGACCCATACTCAGAATTAGTGCTCTGCATTTACCCATCCAAAGTGCACACACACACAGCAGTGAACACACACAAACCGTGAACACACACCCGGAGCAGTGGGCAGCCATTTATGCTGCGGCGCCCGGGGAGCAGTTGGGGGTTCAGTGCCTTGCTCAAGGGCACCTCAGTCGTGGTATTGAAGGTGGGAGAGAGCGCTGTACATTCACTCCCCCCACCTACAATCCCTGCTGGTACGAGACTCGAACCCACAACCTTTGGGTTATGAGTCCGACTCTCTAACCATTAGGCCACGACTTCCCCCATTCCATGAGTCAAACTAAGCTTTACACTAAGATGTTGAGTAATGGCTTAAATAAAAATAAAAAAAGTTTTCCAGCACACTACCAATAGATGGGGCTGTGGGGTTAGGTAGTATATGAATGTTTTTTTCCCCATTTCATTTAAGTCTTAAAGGGATAGTTTACCCAAAAATGAATGTTGCCATTATTTGCTCACCCTAATGTTATTTAAACCAATATGACATGCTTTCTTCCACAGAACTCAAAAGATAATGTTAAGCAGAAAGGTGTACAATTTACTTTAAAACAAATTTTACTCAGGAATTGCTAGTAAATTTCACAAAAAAAAAAAAAAAAGTAATTGAAATTTGAAGTAGAAAGACTGATATAATATTTTCTCGTAAAACATACTACAATAATTGCCATATAATTGGTTCATATAGAACAGGGGTGTCAAACTAAGTTCCTGGAGGGCCACAGCCCTGCAGAGTTTAGCTTCAACCCTAATTAAACATACCTGATCCAGCTAATCAAGTCCTTCAGGCTTATTTGCAAACTACATGGTTTGTGTGTTGGATCAGGGTTGGAACTTGCAGTTAACTTGGAATCTGCTTTAGAAGATTTTCAGTGTAAATTATTTTAATATTTGTGAATTGCTCACAAAGCTATTGTATGAACTGTTTAGATTCTGCTAAATCTGTCCTCTTGCCTTCTATGGAAAAAAACAACATGAGGTTGAGTTTTTCATTTTTAATTGATCTTTTTAAGTGAACTATTCCCTTTAATGACACTGTGCTATTATTAGGGAGGCACCAATATTAAAATTATTATTTTCATGCTTTGGCATGGAATATATAGAATAATCCATAAATAGCTTATCCTAAAAGGTAATTTACATGTAAAAATAGGTGAAATGAACTGCACAATTAAATACTTCATATTGGCCAATATGTATCAGGCTACATAGTCTGGAGCTGTCAAAGAGGTTGTACTCACAATGATGCTCTTGCATTCTCGTCCTCTGCATAGCTCAGTGTAAGTTGAGTACTGCACATACACAACCCAACTGCCCACAAACACAGCAAGCCATGTGAGAAAGAGATACTTTACTCGAATATAGGACAGGCGAGCCTGAGGGAAAGGAAGCAGAAAATAAACATAAGCTCAGGTCTGTGAACTTTAACACAGTCCATGCATAAAGTAAATACAAATCCTGACTGAACTCGATGTCAAGTGTTTACTTATAGTTTATTACTCTGTCAAATTTAAAAACAGAAAAAGAGGCCGAAACAATATTCATGTCAATACATGTCACACAGCAAATTAACAACAACAAAAAGACTCCTGCTACAACATACCCAAAGAAATACAACCATCAACAGTGAACAAACCACATATTTGCTAACTACCAGCCAATGGGTCATGAAATGAGTACAGCCACAATCTGATAACACTTAACTAAAGCAAGGTCAATAATTATCCGCTACATTAACTCATTTGAATGAAGTCCCTATGACAGACAGCCTAGGCTATTTCTGTTAGTTCACTTGCACACAAGGCTTCTGAACTACTAATATACCTGCATGAAGTGTTATGCCCCTGAAATAAAAAGGATGTGGTTACTGTGGTCACCAAAGCTTTACCATGTCAATTTGGGCAGATCAAGCTTTACAGCAGTTTGAAGTGAAAGGCATTAGGGGGCATCCCCATGTATCGTGCAATAACAGCCTGGAGCTTTGCCCATAGAAAAGTTGTCTTCATGGGCTATTTGTGCTGTGGTTTCAGCCATCATGAGGTAGAGCAAATAATACTACCATTCAAAAGATTAGGGTCAATAAGATTTTTAAGTTTTGAAAAAAGTCTCTTATGCCTACCAAGGCTGCATTTATATGATAAAAATACAGTAAACACAGTAATATTGTGAAACATTACAATTTAAAATACCTTTTTCTGTTTGCATATATTTTCAAATGTTATTTATTCTTGTGATGGCAAAGCTGACTTTTCTTCAGCGATTACTCTAGTCTTCAGTGTCACACGATCCTTCAGAAATCATTCAAATATGCTGATTTGGTGTTCAAAAAACATTTCTTACTACTATCAATAAAAACTGTTGTGGTTCATTTGATATGGAATGACTTAAGTGAGAAATAATTTACTTTGATTTACTATCCCAACACAGCAACACTGACCCAACTAAGAGACTGGGACAGGGACTACCATTGGACCAATAATATTACTTTTGCAATTATAATAATAATAACATGCAATAATACTAATAATAATTGTATTATTAATAAATAAAATATTTAACAAAATAAGAAATCTTACTATTTCTTATTACTATCAATGAAAACTGTTGTGCTGCTTAATATTTTTGTGGAAACCATGACACATTTTTTTTCAGAATTGTTTAATCGAAGCTTCAAAGGAACAGGATTTTTTTTTTTGCACTTTTGGTCAGTTTAATGCATAATTGCCGAATAAAATTATTCATTTCTTAGTCAAATTTATTATTAGTCAAATGTATAATTTAATTACTTTGCAAATGCTGTAAAACATTATAAATCTTCAGGTTAAGAATAAACACCAACACTTAGTCATTTTGTTCTTCTATTTATTCATTAAATCTGTTAAAATGCAAGCAATGATACTAGGGGTTATTTTTCACTTTTTTCCACTTTGAAACGCAAATGACCAGACTTTTAAAGGCTCTATTTTCATTTTTGGGTTAGGTTGCATTAGGTACGAGGCTGTGTGCTACATCTTATGAAAATTTCATGCTACACTATCTATGGGCACATACACATGTAGGTGTATTGTATGTAGTGCAGGTCCATGTAAATGAAGCAGAACAAAGGTTGGTGTACCACATTTGTTAGAAATAGGCCATTGCACTTTAGATGCATGAGATGTCTTTTCTCAGTGCAATATTGTATCTAAACTCAGTCTGTGCAACTGCCATTTGGGTATTCCACCAGCAGGTGTTAACAAAGTACATCTGGAAGTCCAAGGAATTGATTACAGATAATTATGGTTAATACCTAGCCATGATCCAAGACATACTGCTCTTAAAATAAGACTCTAAATGGGTCAGTCTGTGTCAACTCAACCAGAGGTCCATGGCTACATACAGGTGCATCTAAACAAATTAGAATATCGTATAAAAAGTTAATTTTTTGTAACCTTTCAAAAAGTGAAACTTTCATATATTCTAGATTCATTACATGTAAAGGAAAATATTTCAAAAGTTTTTTTTTGTTTTAATTTTGATGATTAGAGCTTACAGCTTATGAAAGTCAAACATCCAGTATCTCAAAATTAGAGATGCACCGATACCACTTTTTTTCAGTACTCGACCGATATGATACTTTTATTGCATTTGTAAATTTTTTAAATATTGGGTACAGAAAACAAAAGAGTATGGTTTGGTACCATAAAAGAGTATGGTAACATGGATGACATTTCCCAACAGCACAGCAGTAATGACTTTATTAAAGGTGTAATAGGTGATTGTCTTCAGAAACATTTTTTGTTGTCTCTTCACATCCAGATAGCAATCATTAAGTTAAGTGGTCTAAATGTATTCATCTGTATTTATATATTCTTTGGAAGGCGTAGGACCAGTGCTATAGATCCTCTGAGGAACAATTCCACTCATTCTCTACTATAGGAGATGAAGAGTTGTATAAACTTGTTAAATCATCTAAACCAGTGATCTTCACTATTTTTTTCATGAGTGCCGCACTTATAGGACAAAGTTAATAGGAGAGCCACTTTTACTGCAAAGTATCAAGTTACATCCAGTCATAAATAGCATGTCTGCTTCTCAATCTGTCATCCCTGAACATACAATATGCAACGCAATACAAAAGGGGTTTATTTTTAAAAGTTATTTAAAGTTATTTTTTTAAAGTTACTTATTTAAAGTTATTTGCTTCTACATTAGCCCATCATGTATCAAACCATCTAAGAACACAAGATTGCCAAATCAACTCCGCAGTGAGTCAATGTCATGGACGTAAGGTCAGAGCAAGTTTAAATATCTTTCTAGTCTATATTTCCATCTTGTAATTCCGCTGTTTTGGGTATTTTTCCAATATAAATTTTTTGTAATAGAGCAGACACTGACTGTTCTCATTTAGCGAGACAGCAGACGCTGAAAACACTGCACGCTTCAGTATGTGTGTAGTAAACGAAACCGCACGTCTGTGCCATTCATTCATAAAGAGATACGCAGGATTCATATTTAAATAGTATTTTTGCAGCTAAATATTTACAGATATCAGTCAATATTGCGATTTGATCAAAACTTTTTTAAGTTTCCAAAAATTTGGTTCATTTGACACGGAATGACCCAAAGTGAGAAATAATTTACTTTGTTTTACTATCCCAACACAGCAACACTGATCCAACCAAGAGTCTGGGACGAGGGCTACCTGTGGACAAATTATATTACTTTTGCAATTTTGTCTGGTGCTGCTAGCAGTGCAAAAATTATCACACACTTCCGCTTTAAGAATGTGAGTCAAAGTATCATAGCATTCTATTCTGACAAGACAATTGAAGCAAGACAGGAAGCGAATGGATAGAACTGAGAATGTAGATGGGACTGGGAAAGAAACACATGCCGGGATTCCAATTTTTGCCCCAAATTTGGTTATTTTGTGATCTCAGTATGACTGTTTTTATTATTAATAATAATAATAATGACTGTTAATTGTACTATTAATTGTATTATTGCTAAATAAAATATTTAACTAAATAAGAACGATTACTATTGAAATATTTAACTAAAATACAAACAATCAAGTATTTAAAAAAATACTTATTTTAGAGTACAACTGTACAATTACAATACTAATATTTATGACTTTATGTCTTAATTTCTTCATTTTCAAACATTACACTATCAAGCTTTTATATTGGCTTATCTTTTCTTGGCAACATCCGGTTTATAGACACTTTTCAAGTTTTGATGGTTAGCACATGTTGTGTTCCTAAATGCACATTTTTAGTGACCCAAATTCAGAGCAGATGCAAAGACAGAGTTTGTGTGGAATTGCCTACAGCTAACTGAGCTACTCTGAGCCGCTAAAAACACAAGATCATGAGCTGTTCACGTAAAAAGAACTTCAATCTGGTATATACACTCTTAAAAATAAAAGTGCTTCAAAAGGTTCTTCAAGCGATGCCATAGAAGAACCATTTTTGGGTCCACAAATAACCATTCAGTCAAAGGTTCTTTAAAGAACCATCTCTTTCTTACCTTTTTATAATCTGAAGAACCTTCTTTCGCCACAAAGAACCTTTTGTGAAACAGAAAGGTTCTTCAGATGTTAAAGGTTCTTTATGGAACCATTTAGACAAAAAGGTTCTTCTATGGCATCGTGAAGCACCTTTATTTTTAAGAGTGTAGCCTATTTATTCAATTAAATTGCAGCAATTTTATAATGGTTTCTTTATGACAAAGCGCTGCCCATAAGGCTATGATTCCAACAGGACTTGATATTTCTGATATCTGTAATGCCAGATAAAGCAGTTTAATACCAGACAAAGAAGTTTTCTCCTTATTTATAGAGTCAACAACAAAAGTATGTCATGTAATAAAGTTCAGGCACTGTGTAAACCTCCCAACCTGGAGATCTGGCACCCTTTGTACTTTGTACCAACCTGTATCACCACAGCAGGGTTTCTGCAGGATTTTTAAGCTCAAATTTAAGACCTTTTTAAGACCTGCACAAATAAAATGAATACCATATGAGCGAGGTAGGGCAATGTCTATAGTAACATATTAAACTGTAAAATTACTGTAAAAAGCATAACTTACAGTTCAGATACAAGTTTTCACAAAAACAAAAAGTTTTATAAAATGATCAACTTTACATTTCAGCATTTAAACCATTTTTAAGAAAACAGATGAGTCAAAAAGTATTAGTCATTATATTAATTTAAACAATTATTATCAATAAATTGTTATATCAATTAAATAACAAATTATGGGTGTGCGATATTGACAAAACAATTATATCTCGATAATTTTCTAGGATTTTATTGATAACGATAATTAGACAATATTTTGCTGAGTGTGTTATTGTGCTGATATCTTATCTCTAATTGTGCTGACAGCT